CATCACCAAAATTTACCCAGTGGTTATTCAAACTGCTGCAGCATTTCACCTTTGCCCCAGGCACATTGGTCCTCCTGGGCAGTTGCTCTGGCTTTTCCTGTGCTTTCAATTGTCATCTCCGCATCAGTTGATTGTGGGCATTGCCGTGTACCCACTGCTTGTCCTGTGTGTGTGTGTGTGTGTGTGTGTGTGTGTGTGTGTGTGTGTGTGTATGGTACAGGTATCACTATGTCATGTTGTACGACCATGTGTGCAAATGTGGATACCACAGTGAAATATCACATATCTTCCTTATGTGACAGGGTTTCACTAAACTACAAAGTCTCAGGATCCTTTTGTGTTCCCCCATCCCTAGCTGGGGTTAGAGGCTCCCATGGTGTTCTAGGATTTGTTTTTATGTAGTTCATGAGGATTCAAACTCAGGTCCTCAGGCCTTTAGAGGGACTGCTCAGACTCTCACAGTTACTCCACAGCCCCACTTGCTGGTCATAAAATCTCACATCATTGCTGAAATTTCTGTTCAAATATTTTCTAAGTTGGACACTACTTAGAACACTCACTACTAAGACTGAGGGTTTTTTAATAGCTTGTTGCCAGCAGCTCCAGCCAGCAGTTCTTGCATCTTGATGAGTAGAATTCCTAGATTTGCTTTCAAAAGACCAATATTCCATTAGGAGGTTTTTTTTTTTTTTCTTTTTTTCTTTTTTTTCTTTTTTCAGACAGGGTCTCTACAGAGCCCTTACAGGCCTGGAACTCACAGAGATCCACCTGCTTCTGCCTCCTGAAGGCTGGGATTAAAGGCCTGGGCTACCACATCCAACCCCACTTGTTGGTCATGTGTGTGCACAGGCCTGTGTCATGGTGAAGATGGAACCCAGGCCTTCCATATTCCAGGTGAGAGCACAGAACCTACCTGGTGTTTGGCTTTATGGAATTCTGAATCAGTGTCAAGGGTGTACTGGTGTCCAGGGTCATCAAGACCCTGAACATCATGTCCCGATTTATCAGATGGCTCTTCTCAGGTTTCCCCACACAGTTTCATGTGTGACATTTAGGGGTGATATCTGGTTTCAAAACATTGCCTTTTCACTCTGCAATTGTTAAGGTTTTGCTTTTGAGACACTTATTTTTATTTTTTTAATTTTGGTTTGGTTTGGTTTTTTTGAAGACAGGGTATCTCTGTGTAGCTCTGACTGTCCTGAACTTGCTGTGTAAACTAGGCTGGCCTCAACCTCAGTGATCTCCCTGCCTGTCTCTGCCTCCTGAGCGCTAAGATTAAAGACATGTGCTATCACTACATGGCTGGAACATTTTAATTAGCATTGATTGTGCAAATGATGAGTTTTGTGGTCACTTTTTTTTAAATGACTTTTTACATTTTTATTGCATTAGGGGCAGGGTTCAGGCCTCATGTCCATATAGCTGTCAGAGGACAACTTGTGGGAATTCTTTTTATGATTTCTTTGTTTTCTGTACAGGAATGTTACACCTGCATGTATGTCTGTGCACATTGTTCAATCTTGCTGCCTTTGGAGGTCGGAAGAGGGCATTGCATCCCCTGAAGCTGAAGGTATCATGTGGGTGCTGGAAATTGAACCCAGATCTTCCATAAGAGCAGCAAGTGCTCTTATCCAACAAGCCAGCTCTTCAACTCCTTGATCGCACAGTGCAGTTACTTTCACAAAGGGTTCCTGTAGTTGGACTGACCCTAAATCCTACAGCTCTACTATTAGAGTACCACCAGGACTGGGAGCCAGATCTCCTTGTGGGTTTGCATGCTTACATGTGGGAAAAACTCATATGAACAAGCACAATCAGTTCTGGAGCAAAGTGGCACCAAGTTCCAGAGCCAAGGCTGTGGTACTGCAGCCTGAGTCCTAGTATAAGCATGGCCAGGGTAGACATAGTCCAGCTGCCAGACAGGCAAGAAGTAGAGCTTGCACTCTGTTCTTCACAGCTGATTCTCTTCATATCCTTGAGGGCCTGGCAGGTACCAATATACAGGCTCGGAGTGTGCAGCTTGCTGGCTCTGATGCTGGCCTAGAAATCCATTTCATGTGGATATACAGGCTGACCCACATACTTGGCAATCTTCTTCACTCTAGTCTGAATATGCTTGGGTGTTTTCTCCAAGGAGAGTGTTTTAGTTTCCCTGTTCCATCCTTCTGCCTCCTGATTTCCTACAGAGGGTCCCCTACCCTAGTAGTGAATGAGAAGGGTGTGATCCACACTACTACCCCCTGTGTGCTCCTTCTTGCTTTATCTGTGTTACCTGCAGCCTGGCACCCACCTGTGCTTGTGGTGATGCTGTTACTGTTTGTAAGCTTTGAAGACTTACACCAGTGTAGAAATTTGGACTCCTTAAGTTGACAGTATTTTGTGTAGAAAACAAGCATGCCCTGAGAATGCTGTAAGAAGTCAGTTGCTGGCACCTCCATAGCACACAGAAGCACAGTCCCTTCAAGATGATTCAGGTGCATTAGTTTTCTATGTCTGATGCATGTGACTTTCCCATTCAACAAAATCTGATTATGGTGTATACCCAGTTTCAAAACTCCTGCATCCCCCTCTGACCTCTAAGAAAGCAAATTAAGGGAAGGTGGTCTGACCTCTGACTGTTCCCATAACAGGTTTCTGTATCAGTCAAGGGAGGGAAGCCTCCTGAGGGAAGGAAAGCCAGCACCTAGGGGCAAATGTAGGTTTCAGATGGGGCTGGTGATCCATGGGGCAGGGACTCTGAGATCAAGGAAGGGGCTGCCAGGCCTCCCACGAGACAATCAAGACAACCCTCCTAGACACACCCAGACAGTCCTTCACTTCCTAAGTGATTCTAGATTATGTCAGGTGGACAGTAAACACTGACCATCTAGAGGTCTATGTCAGTAAGGACCTGGTTCAAGTGTTATGATGGGAGCTCCGGGCAGAGTGCCTTAAGGCACAGCCAGATACCCATGGAACTATTTGCAGATTCAGGGTGCAGGCAGGGATTGCCAGGAGCTGCAGTTTGCTGATGGCTTAGGGGCTCTGCAGAAATTATAGCCCAGTGGGATGCCTGACATCTGGGCACTTGGGAGGTAGAGGCAGGAAGCACAAGAGGTCAAGGTCATTGTTGGCCACATGGGGGTACTGAGGCCAGCCTGGGTTACATGAGACCCTGTCTCAAACAACAATACAAAGCAAACAATTCTCTCTTCCCAGGTGGGTATGAGAGGAGCCCATGAGCCTGGCTAGGATTTTCTCATAGGACTAAATGAGGGCTGTGTTTCAGCTGGGTCAGTCAGGGGCATGGACTTGCCTGGGTTTAAACAGGGTTCACACCTACCAGTGACTCTGACCCTTAAGGGATATGCAGACATTTTATTTTGATTTTATCCCTTAGTGGATGGAGCCACAGGCAAGCACCTTTATGGACTTAGACAGCTAGCCAGCCAAACTATCCCTGGATTTTTAGACACAGGGTGTCATGTATCCCAGACTAGCCATGAAGTTGTGAAAGGACCAAGGTTGCTCAGTCTTCTCTCAGAGATCAGGCCTCAAGTTCAGTTTCCTGAGACTCAGCAAGCAGTCTCTGGGAGGGCCGTGAACAAAAGACATAGTCCTTGTAGTAGTTCCCTTTCTGCATGTACTCTGACTGCTCAAGGTTCAGCCAGATGTTTACTGTCTGGGACCCCTCAGCAACTTAGAGTTATGTGCTTGAGTCAAGGACAGAGCCTAGACCACTGAGCCAGCCCCCACAGTCAGTATGTGATAGGCCAGCTAGCCCCCATGGTGGCTCAAGGACAAAGCCTGGAACTTGTGCTGGACAGCCCCCAAAGTGATCATTGTAACCACCAACCAGTAAATTCAAAGGTTACATACCCTCACCCAATTAAAAGAGAACAGAGACAAAAATAAAGCAATCCGAGTTGTACCTGTGAAACTCCCCCCCCCCCCAAACCGCCCTGAAGGGCTTGTGGTGTTTGCCTTTAAAAAGCTAGCCACACAAAGAAAGGGCAACTCCTCCCTGCCTCACTCTATTGGGTGTAGTGCCACACCAACTTCAGTGTCGTCGGTGTGATATGAACAATTATGTCAATAATAGAGGATGGGAGATATGTGTCCCACGGGACTAAGCTCCCTGGAGGTCCCTGGCAGAGTGCCCGTGTTATGCCTCCTTCTCGAAGGAGACCTGCTTCACAGATCATGAGCTCCCGGGGCTATGGGTTCTGTATAACTGCTTTTCTGATAATGTTCTAATTAATTTATAAAACACAGCCAAAATTAATGAATGCTTGGGTTGTGAACTGTGGAGGAAGGGGAAGCTGAACATGAACCTTATTTAGATATAGCAGAATGAACTATTCCTTAAAGACCTCAAGCCTCAAGCTGCTAGATAATAGAAAGTATAATATAGTTCAGGCACTTCTAGGGAATGAACACTCACCCACTAGGAATCCCAACTAAAGTGTTTTATGGCAGAAAACATTATCTCATAGGAGGCAGATGGTGGGCCCCTCTGTTGAAGAAGTTCAGCATGGAAAACTTGAGGACTACAGCAGAACCCATTCCCTTTACAGGTGTAAAAGTACAAGAGTCCATATTCCAGCAGGTACAAAATTTTATATTATAAGAGATACATGGTAATGAACTGATGAAAGACTTAGGGAAGATCTGCAGCATCCAAATTGGCTAAATGGGCCATGAGAACCAGAAGAGTAAAAATGAATAATTAACTAGCGAGCAGCTGAGATAAAGATGAAGGACACAGCTGCAAGAAGCCTACAAAAGTCTAGGAACTGGACTACGTTTAAAAAACACAGACCGCTCTTTGGGTCATAAAGTTCTTGTGAGTGAAGGGATATGTCTAGCGCCGATTAATAATTATATGCGGGGGCTGAGTTTAATAAGCGAGCGAGCAAGCGAGAGAGCGCGGAGTGGGGTGGGGGCAAAGGCAGAGCATGTCCGCCATCTACCCTCCGCTCCCGGGCGCGCTCTCATTCATAGCAGCCTCTTCATGAATTACAGCTGAAGGGGGCGGGGAGGGGCGATACCACACAACACCCCGGCAAACCTCCGGGCCCCCAGGCTTGGCTAGCTCGTGTGGCATGCAGGTGAAGCTGGAGCTGGGGCACCGCGCCCAGGTGAGGAAGAAACCCACGGTGGAGGGCTTCACCCACGACTGGATGGTGTTCATGCGCGGCCCGGAGCACAGTAACATTCAGCACTTTGTGGAGAAAGTCGTCTTCCACTTGCACGAAAGCTTCCCTAGGCAAAAAAGAGTGTGCAAAGATCCACCTTACAAAGTAGAAGAGTCTGGGTATGCTGGTTTCATATTGCCAATTGAGGTTTATTTTAAAAACAAGGAAGAACCTAAGAAAGTCCGCTTTGATTATGACTTATTCCTGCATCTTGAAGGCCACCCACCAGTGAATCACCTCCGCTGTGAGAAGCTTACTTTCAATAACCCCACAGAAGACTTCAGAAGAAAGTTGCTGAAGGCAGGAGGGGACCCTAACAGGAGCATTCATACCAGCAGCAGCAGCAGCAGCAGCAGCAGCAGCAGCAGCAGCAGCAGCAGCACCAGTTTTTCAAAGCCTCACAAATTAATGAAGGAGCACAAGGAAAAACCTTCTAAAGACTCCAGAGAACATAAAAGTCCCTTCAAAGAACCTTCCAGGGATCACAACAAATCTTCCAAAGACTCCTCCAAGAAACCCAAAGAAAACAAGCCACTGAAAGAAGAAAAAATAGTTCATAAAATGGCCTTCAAGGAACCTAAACCCATGTCAAAAGAGCCAAAAGCAGACAGTAACTTACTCACCATCACCAGTGGACAGCAGGATAAGAAGGCTCCCAGTAAAAGGCCCCCCATTTCCGATTCTGAAGAACTCTCGGCCAAAAAAAGGAAAAAGAGTAGTTCAGAGGCTTTATTTAAAAGTTTTTCTAGTGCACCACCACTGATACTCACTTGTTCTGCTGACAAAAAACAGATAAAAGATAAGCCTCATGTCAAGATGGGAAAGGTCAAAATTGAGAGTGAGACGTCCGAGAAGAAGAAGTCGACGTTGCCGCCGTTTGATGATATTGTGGATCCCAACGACTCAGACGTGGAGGAGAATATGTCCTCGAAGTCTGACTCAGAGCAACCCAGTCCTGCCAGCTCCAGCTCCAGCTCCAGCTCCAGCTTCACACCATCCCAGACCAGGCAACAAGGTCCTTTGAGGTCTATCATGAAAGATCTGCACTCTGATGACAACGAGGAGGAGTCTGACGAGGCAGAGGATAATGACAATGACTCTGAGATGGAAAGACCTTGTAAATAGAGGAGGAAGCCGAAGCCGCAGGGTCAGCTTGAGTGACGGCAGCGACAGTGAAAGCAGCTCCGCCTCTTCACCCCTCCATCATGAACCCCCGCCGCCATTATTGAAAACTAACAACAACCAGATTCTTGAAGTGAAAAGTCCAATCAAACAAAGCAAATCAGATAAGCAAATAAAGAATGGTGAATGTGACAAGGCATACCTAGATGAGCTGGTAGAGCTCCACAGATGGCTAATGACACTGAGGGAAAGACACATTCTGCAGCAGATCGTGAACCTTATAGAAGAAACTGGACACTTTCATATTACAAATACAACATTTGATTTTGATCTTTGCTCGCTGGACAAAACTACAGTCCGTAAATTACAGAGTTACCTGGAAACATCTGG